CGAACCTTTCTGTGCGCGCGAACCAAGCTGAAGTTGCTCTGGTAGGTGTATTTGAACATGGGCCATTCGAATATGCAACAATAGCCAGGTCGTTGGATGCTTTCCCATACGCCTAAAGGGATCCGTGCGCTTCCTTAGCATTTGGGGGCAGGCACGGCCGTCGTCGCGGGCGCCGAACTTTTCTGTGCGCGCGAACCAAGCTGAAGTTGCTCTGGTAGGTGTATTTGAACATGGGCCATCTGAATATGCAACAATATTCGGGTCGTTGGATGCTTTCCCCTACGCCTATAGGGATCCGTGCGCTTCCTTAGCATTTGGGGGCAGGCACGGCCGTCGTCGCGGGCGCCGAACTTTTCTGTGTGCGCGAACCTAGCTGAAGTTGCTCTGGTGGGTGTATTTGAATATGGGCCATCTGGATATGCAACAATATTGGGGTCGTTGGATGCTTTCCCCTACGCCTATAGGGATCCGTGCGCTTCCTTAGCATTTGGGGGCAGGCACGGCCGACGTCGCGGGCGCCGAACTTTTCTGTGCGCGCGAATCAAGCTGAAGTTGCTCTGGTAGGTATATTTGAACATGGGCCATTCGAATATGCAACAATATCCGGGTCGTTGGATGCTTTCCCCTACGCCTATAGGGATCCGTGCGCTTCCTTAGCATTTGGGGGCAGGCACGGCCGACGTCGCGGGCGCCGAACTTTTCAGTGCGCGCGAATCAAGCTGAAGTTGCTCTGGTAAGTGTATTTGAACATGGGCCATTCGAATATGCAACAATATTCGGGTCGTTGGATGCTTTTCCCTACGCCTATAGGGATCCGTGGGCTTCCTTAGCATTTGTGTGCAAGCACGGCCGACGTCGCGGGCGCCGAACTTTTCTGTGCGCGTGAACCAAGCTGAAGTTGCTCTGGTAGGTGTATTTGAACATGGGCCATCTGAATATGCAACAATATTAGGGGTCGTAGGATGCTTTCCCCTACGCCTATAGGGATCCGTGCGCTTCCTTAGCATTTGGGGGCAGGCACGGCCGTCGTCGCGGGCGCCGAATTTTTCTGTGCGCGCGAACCAAGCTGAAGTTGCTCTGGTAGGTGTATTTGAACATGAGCCATCTGAATATGCAACAATATTGGGGTCGTTGGATGCTTTCCCCTACGCCTATAAAGATCCGTGCGCTTCCTTAGCATTTGGGGGCAGGCACGGCCGTCGTCGCGGGCGCCGAACTTTTATGTGCGCGCGAACCAAGCTGAAGTTGCTCTGGTAGGTGTATTTGAACATGGGCCATCTCAATATGCAACAATATTCGGGTCGTTGGATGCTTTTCCCTACGCCTATAGGGATCCGTGCGCTTCCTTAGCATTTGGGGGCAGGCACGGCCGTCGTCGCGGGCGCCGAACTTTTCTGTGCGCGCGAACCAAGCTGAAGTTGCTCTGGTAGGTGTATTTGAACATGGGCCATCTGAATATGCAACAATATTGGGGTCGTCGGATGCTTTCCCCTACGCCTATAGGGATCCGTGCGCTACCTTAGCATTTGGGGGCAGGCACGGCCGTCGTCGCGGGCGCCGAACTTTTCTGTGCGCGCGAACCAAGCTGAATTTGCTCTGGTAGGTGTATTTGAACATGGGCCATCTGAATATGCAACAATATTCGGGTCGTTGGATTCTTTCCCCTACGCCTATAGGGATCCGTGCGCTTCCTTAGCATTTGGGAGCAGGCACGGCCGTCGTCGCGGGCGCCGAACGTTTCTGTGCGCGCGAACCAAGCTGAAGTTGCTCTGGTAGGTGTATTTGAACATGGGCCATCTGAGTATGCAACAATATCCGGGTCGTTGGATGCTTTCCCCTACGCCTATAGGGATCCGTGCACTTCCTTAGCATTTGGGGGCAGGCACGGCCGTCGTCGCGGGCGCCGAACTTTTCTGTGCGCGCGAACCTAGCTGAAGTTGCTCTGGTAGGTGTATTTGAACATGGGCCATCTGAATATGCAACAATATTGGGGTCGTTGGTGTCAGACTTATATGCTATAGTCTGTGTAGGCTGTAGTGGGGTAGACTATATGGGGTACAACACTTTTAGGTTTTCCCACTTGTACCCACCTGTTTCCTAGTGCATTCATTCATTGTTCTTTCACATGGTATCAGAGCAGGTTCCCTAGTGGGAACGTTTCCTAGGGCTCACCGAAACTTCGAAAGTTTTTTTTTCCTGCCCGGAGCGCACTTCACCCCTGCCCGAGTCGCGCCCCGCGTCCCCTGCCCTTAGTGGCCCCTTAGCCGCTCCCTCGCGGCCCCTCTCACGGCCCCTCGCGGCCCCTTAGCCGCTCCCTCGCAGCCCCACTCACGGCCCCTCGCGGCCCCTCTATCACGGCCCCTCGAGGCCCCTTAGCCGCTCCCTCGCGGCCCCTCTCACGGCCCCTCGCGGCCCCTCTCACGGCCCCTCGCAGCCCCTTAGCCGCTCCCTCGCGGCCCCTCTCACGGCCCCTCGCGCCCCCCCCCCCCCCTCCGCGGCCGTTCGCGGCCCCTCGCGGCCCCTCTCGCGGCCCCTCCGCGGCCATTCGCGGCCCCTCCGTGGCCGTTCGCGGCCCCTCGCGGCCACTCTCCCGGCCCCTCGCGGCCCTATCGCGGCCCCTCGCGGCCCCTCGTGGCTCGTCGCGGCTCGTCGCGGCCCCTCCGCGTCCCCTCTCCAGGCCCCTCGTGACCCCGTCGCGGCTCCCTCGCGGCCTCGTTGCGGCTCCCGCGTCGCCCCTGCCCGTCGCAACGCCCTGCCCTAACCCGCGCCCTGGAGCAGCCGCCACTTCAGCCCTGCAGCAGCCGCCCCCTGCAGCAGCTGCGCCGCCCCCTGACCGCCGCGGCGCCCTGCCCTAACCCGCGCCCTGCAGCAGCCGCCCCCTGGAGCAGCCGCCACTGCAGCAGCCGCCCCAGGAGCGGCCGCCACTGCAGCAGCCGCCCCTGGAGCAGCCGCCCCTGGAGCAGCCGCCACTGCAGCAGCCGCCCCTGCAGCAGCCGCCCCTGGAGCAGCCGCCACTGCAATAGCCGCCCCTGGAGCAGCCGCCACTGCAGCAGCCGCCCCTGGAGCAGCCGCCACTGCAGCAGCCGCCCCTGGAGCAGCCGCCACTGCAGCAGTCGCCCCTGGAGCAGCCGCCCCTGCAGCAACCGCCCCTGGAGCAGCCGCCACTGCAGCAGCCGCCCCTGGAGCAGCCGCCACTGCAGCAGCCGCCCCTGGAACAGCCGCCCCTGTAGCAGCCGCCCCTGGAGCAGCCACCACTGCAGCAGCCGCCCCTGGAGCAGCCGCCACTGCAGCAGCCGCCCCTGGAGCAGCCGCCCCTGCAGGAGCCGCACCTGGAGCAGCCGCCCCTGCAGCAGCCGCGGAGCCCTCGCCCTGCAGTGGCAGCGGCCTCGCCGTTGCCGCCGTCGTACGCCTGCCCTTCTCGCCACTGGTGAGCACTGCCCTGCCCGTACTGCTGTTACTGCTGCTCTTGCTGCTACTGCTCTTTCTACTGCTACTGCTGCTTCTGGCGTGGCCAGATGCAGCTCCAGCGCCGTCCACGTGAGTCCCTCGCCCCCCAACAGCTTCGTGAGTGGTACGCTAGTTGGGGTTGTAGGGGTGGCCGCGCTACGACTACTGCTACTGCTTCTACTACTGCTACTGTGGCTACCACTGCTCCTCCTGCTCCTGGCGGTGGCCAGATGCAGCTCCAGCGACGTCCGCGTGAGTCCCTCACGCCCCAGCAGCTTCGTGAGTGGTACGCTACTTGGGGTTGTCGGGGTGGCCGTAGTGGGAGTCGTTCTGGCGTGAGGAGTTCGGGAGCTACTTGTAGTGGCCAGGTGCAGCTGCAGCGTAGTCCGCCCGCGGTCCTTTCGCCCCAGCAGCTTCGTGAGTGGTACGCTCAGCGTGGAGGGTCACGGGGTTCTGCCCGCTGTCCGTACGTCATTCGCACTGGTGCTCGGACTGGTCAGCCCTGCGGGACGTTTGGTCACGCCGAGTCCCGCTGCTTCGCCCGTCTGAGCGACGTCTGGCGTACGGAGTTTGGCGACGCCGCTGAGCTCCCCGACTGGGTGGAGCTGCTTAGGCAGAGGGTAGATATCTATGCTCTTGACTATGATGCTATCCTCACTGCCATGTATGCATTGCCTACTAGTGATGTGGGTGACTGTTACCTGTGTGTTCCGCCTGACCCGGGCATTGAGGCTGCTGCTCTAGGTGCTGGTGAGGCTGCTGCTCTAGGTGCTAGTGCGTCTGCTCCTCCAGGTGCTGGTGAGTCTGCTGCCCCAGGTACTGGTGAGTCTGCTGCCCCAGGTGCTGGTGAGTCTGCTCTCTCAGGTACCACGTCGTCTCAGGTGTTACGCACCTTCACCCTTGACTCGGGTGCTTCCCGCTCCTTCTTTCGAGACCGCACCACACTCACGCCGCTTAGTCGGCCGGTTGCAGTCTCCCTGACAGACCCCTCTGGGGGTCCCGTCCTTGCCCACTTCTCCACTGTCTTACCGTGTCCGGCGGCCCCTTCTGGCTCTCTGTCGGGTCTTTACCTCCCCTCATTCTCTACAAACTTGGTGAGTGGTGCTGACCTACAGGACGCAGGGGTTGACCAGTTCACCCCTGCGCGTCAGCGAGTGACCCACTGTACGTGTGCTAGGATGGGCCGACACTTGGCCACGTTTACCCGTCAGCCGGGGTCGAGCCTGTACACACTGACTGCTGAGTCTCCTCAGGTAGCTGCGTCGAGTCAGGTCTTTGCTGCAGCGTCCAGGTCTGGTCCTGAGTCTGCCCCCTGCTCGTGTCGTCTCCTGTCTCACCAGACTCTCCTCTGGCACCACCGCCTTGGTCACCCCTCCCTGCCTCGTCTCCGAGGCATGGCCTCTCGTTTCCTTGTCTCGGGTCTCCCCCGGTCCCTCCCTTCTCTTCCTCCGGGGCCTGGCCCCACCTGCGTTCCCTGCGTCGAGGGGCGGCAGCGCGCCGCTCCTCACTCCTCCGAGTTTCCTCCGACAGAGGCTCCGCTGCAGACGCTTCACATGGACGTGTGGGGCCCAGCCCGCGTCCGTGGACAGGGTCACGAGCGTAACTTCTTGCTGGTGGTTGACGACTACTCGCGTTTCACCGCAGTCTTCCCCTTGTGCAGCAAGGGTGATGTCACTGAGGTGTTGATCGACTGGATCCGCGCAGCTCGACTCCAGCTCAGAGAGAGTTTCGGCTCGGACTTTCCTGTCTTGCGTCTGCACTCCGACAGAGGCGGTGAGTTTTCCTCTGACCTTCTGCGAGCCTTCTGTCGTGCACAGGGCATCCGCCAGACGTTCACGCTTCCGGCCTCTCCACAGCAAAATGGGATTGCTGAGTGCCGCATTGGCATGGTCATGGACGTCGCTCGCACGTCCATGATCCATGCGGCTGCTCCCCATTTTCTGTGGCCGTTCGCGGTTCAGTACGCGGCGCATCAGATCAACCTTCAGCCCCGAGTCTCCTTGCCGGAGACCTCCCCTACTCTGAGGTGGACGGGGAAGGTTGGCGATGCGTCTGCGTTTCGTGTCTGGGGATCTCGGGCTTTTGTCCGCGACTTGTCTGCGGACAAGCTGTCCCCCCGTGCTGTTCCCTGCGTCTTCCTTGGCTTCCCCCCTGACGCGCCTGGTTGGCAGTTTTACCACCCCACCTCGCGCCGTGTTCTGTCGTCCCAGGACGTCACCTTTGACGAGTCGGTCCCCTTCTACCGGCTCTTCCCCTACCGCACTGCCCCGCTCCCCCCTCCGCCGCTCTTCCTCACGCCAGGTGCTGCCTTGGTAGACCCCTTGCCTCCCCAGGTCCCTGCTCCCTCAGGTGTTTCCCAGGTAGACCCGGTCGAGCCTGTCGAGGTAGCTATCGACTCTGGTCCTGCGCGAGGTACTGAGCGTGCTGAGCCTGGGGGTGCGGAGACTGGGGGTGCTGAGCCTGGGGGTGCGGAGACTGGGGGTGCTGCGCCTGAGGGTGCAGAGACTGGGGGTGCTGAGCCTGGGGGTGCAGAGACTGCAGGTGCTGAGCCTGGGGGTGCTGTCCCTGGGGGTGCGGGTTCTGGAGGTCCTGAGCCTGGGGGTGCTGCGCCTAGGGGAGCTCTCTCTTCCCAGCAGCTACGTGACTGGTACTCTCGGTACTGTCGCGGCCTCCGGGGTGCTGCTGGAGCTGCTGGCGTTGGTCCTGCTGGAGGTGCTGCTGGTGCTGCTGGAGGTACTGGAGCTGCTGGTGCTGCTGTGGGTACAGGAGCTGCTGAGCCTGGAGGTGCTCCTGGCACTGGAGCTGCTGGTGGTGCTGGAGCTGGCGGTCCTGCTGGTGTTGGTACTGGCGGTGCTGCTGGTGCTGGTGCTTCTGAGGGTGCTGGAGTAGGCGCTGCTGGAGCCGGAGGTGCTGCTGGTGTTGGAGCTGGCGGTGCTGCTGGCGCTGGTGCTTCTGAGGGTGCTGGAGTTGGCGCTGCTGGAGCTGGAGGTGCTGCGGGCGCTGGTGCTGCCGCTGGGGGTCCTGGTGTTGTCCCTGCTGTTTCTGGAGTCGCTGCGCGGCCGCGGCCGTACTTCGTTCCGCTCCTTGAGCAGGTTCTTGGTCTCCCGCCTTCTACTGGTCCTCCTCCTCCCTTAGAGTGTCCACAGCCTGACCAGTTCCAGTCACAGTTACAGCCCGCCTCCCCACTGCCTGCTCCTTCTCCCTACACTGGTCCTACTGGAGGTCTTGCTGAGCGTCGTGCGCCTGCGTCTCGTCCTGCGTCGCCTGTTCGTACTGCTCGCACTAGTCGTCGTGTTCCGCGTCAGCGTCCTCCTGCGGTCCCGGGCACGCACCAGATGGCACTGCGTCCTTCCACTGCTCCGCAGCGTGTCCCTTTGCCGTCTCCTCCTGAGTCCTCTCTTCCTGCTCTTGCTGACCCGGAGTCGGACTCTCTTCGTGCTGCCAGTCCTACTGTCACGCGTCTCCTGGCTACTGTTGTCACTTACCCTTCCTTTGAGTCCACTGCTGCGTCTGCCTTAGTTGCTGAGTTGGTCGACTTCGCTGCTCACTGTCGTCTAGACTACGCTGCTAGTCTTGTTGCTGAGTCTGAGTCTGTCTGTCCTCCGTCCGTCGGACAGGCAGGAGGAGTTCCAGTGTTTTGCTGCTGCTTTGCCTCATCTCGTGTCCATGCTGATTGCCCCTGAGGGAGACCCGGATGCACCAGACATCCCGACTCCTCGATCGTACGCTGAGGCGATCGAGGGTCCCTACTCCTCACAGTGGCAGTCAGCCATGGACGCAGAGATGGCTTCCTGGAATTCCACAGGCACCTACGTCGACGAGGTTCCCCCACCTGGGGCGAACATCGTCAGTGGCATGTGGATTTTCAGGGTGAAGCGGCCGCCGGGTTCTCCGCCTGTCTTCAAGGCGCGTTACGTGGCTCGAGGCTTCAGTCAGCGGCAGGGAGTTGACTACTTTCAGACCTTCTCTCCCACCCCGAAGATGACCACTCTTCGGGTGCTGCTGCACATAGCCGCTCAGCGCGACTACGAGCTTCACTCTCTTGACTTCAGCACAGCTTTCTTGCAGGGCAGCCTGCACGAGGAGATCTGGCTGCGCCGCCCACCTGGCTTCACTGGGTCGTTCCCCCCTGGTACCCAGTGGAGCCTCCGGAGGCCAGTCTACGGTCTCCGCCAGGCGCCCCTTGAGTGGCACGACACACTGAGGACTACACTTGCGGCTCTTGGGTTTGCTCCTTCTACTGCCGACCCGTCGCTGTTTCTGCGCACCGACACCTCTTTGCCGCCGTTCTACATCCTCGTGTACGTCGACGACTTGGTCTTTGCCACTGCTGACACTGCTGGACTCGCCCACGTGAAGTCCGAGCTGCAGAAGAGACACACGTGCACAGACTTGGGTGAACTGCGCAGCTACCTTGGCTTGCAGATCACCCGGGACAGAGCACAGCGCACCATCACCCTGACTCAGTCACACATGGTGCAGCAGGTCCTTCAGCGCTTCGACTTCACGTACTCCTCGCCTCAGGCCACTCCTCTGTCTACTCGCCACTCGCTCTCAGCTCTGCCTTCGGATGAGTCCGTAGAGCCGAGTGGCCCGTACCCAGAGCTTGTTGGCTGCCTCATGTACCTGATGACCTGCACTCGACCTGACCTTGCATACCCTCTTAGCATCTTGGCACGCTATGTTGCTCCTGGGAGACACCGACCAGAGCACATGGCTGCAGCGAAGAGGGTGTTGCGCTACTTGTGCAGTACGTCGGGCACGGGGCTAGTGCTTGGAGGGCGGCGTTCAGTGGTCCTCACAGGTCACGCAGACGCTTCTTGGGCTGACGACCAGGCTACGCAGCAGTCGTCACAGGGTTACACCTTCAGCCTTGGTTCTGGCTCTGTTTCGTGGCGGTCTACCCGCTCGTCTTCTGTTCTCGGCTCCAGCTGTGAGGCTGAGATCTACGCGGGGGCCATGGCTGCACAGGAGCTACGCTGGCTCACCTACCTGCTGACTGACCTAGGAGAGCCGCCTCGTTCTCCTCCAGTTCTGTACGTAGACAACAAGGCCATGTTGGCCTTGTGTCGGGAGCACAGACTGGAGCACAGAACGAAGCACATTGCTCTTCGCTACTTCCTTGCTCGTGAGCTACAGCAGCGTGGTCAGCTACGCCTTGCTTGCGTGGCCTCTCAGGCCAACACTGCTGATATCTTTACCAAGGCACTTCAGCCTTGTGATCATCAGCGCTTTTGTACGATGCTAGGTCTTGTGCCTACTTGGCCTCACTTGCTTACTTCTTGACCTTGCTTGTACTGTGTTCTATATATACCTGCACTTGCTTGTTTACCTATATATATATGATCCTGCATGTGAACTGGCCTTGTGGCCTTGAAGCTGTGCTCGGAATGTGTGGTGACGTTGTGATCCACCCTGAGCTTGCTTTGCTTTGCTTGACTGGTCTCGTGACCCCTTGTTCTCCCCCACTTTGCCTATGGGGGTGTGTCAGACTTATATGCTATAGTCTGTGTAGGCTGTAGTGGGGTAGACTATATGGGGTACAACACTTTTAGGTTTTCCCACTTGTACCCACCTGTTTCCTAGTGCATTCATTCCTTGTTCTTTCACAGTTGGATGCTTTCCCCTATGCCTATAGGGATCCGTGCGCTTCCTTAGCATTTGGGGGCAGGCACGGCCGACGTCGCGGGCGCCGAACTTTTCTGTGCGCGCGAATCAAGCTGAAGTTGCTCTGGTAGGTATATTTGAACATGGGCCATTCGAATATGCAACAATATCCGGGTCGTTGGATGCTTTCCCCTACGCCTATAGGGATCCGTGCGCTTCCTTAGCATTTGGGGGCAGGCACGGCCGACGTCGCGGGCGCCGAACTTTTCAGTGCGCGCGAATCAAGCTGAAGTTGCTCTGGTAAGTGTATTTGAACATGGGCCATTCGAATATGCAACAATATTCGGGTCGTTGGATGCTTTTCCCTACGCCTATAGGGATCCGTGGGCTTCCTTAGCATTTGTGTGCAGGCACGGCCGACGTCGCGGGCGCCGAACTTTTCTGTGCGCGCGAACCAAGCTGATGTTGCTCTGGTTGAACATGGGCCATCTGAATATGCAACAATATTAGGGGTCGTAAGATGCTTTCCCCTACGCCTATAGGGATCCGTGCGCTTCCTTAGCATTTGGGGGCAGGCACGGCCGTCGTCGCGGGCGCCGAATTTTTCTCTGGTAGGTGTATTTGAACATGAGCCATCTGAATATGCAACAATATTGGGGTCGTTGGATGCTTTCCCCTAGGCCTATAGGGATCCGTGCACTTCCTTAGCATTTGGGGGCAGGCACGGCCGTCGTCGCGGGCGCCGAACTTTTCTGTGCGCGCGAACCAAGCTGAAGTTGCTCTGGTAGGTGTATTTGAACATGGGCCATCTGAATATGCAACAAAATTGGGGTCGTTGGATGCTTTCCCCTACGCCTATAGGGATCCGTGGGCTTCCTTAGCATTTGTGTGCAGGCACGGCCGTCGTCGCGGGCGCCGAACTTTTCTGTGCGCGCGAACCAAGCTGAAGTTGCTCTGGTAGGTGTATTTGAACATGGGCCACCTGAATATGCAACAATATTGGGGTCGTTGGATGCTTTCCCTTACGCCTATAGGGATCCGTGCGCTTCCTTAGCATTTGGGGGCAGGCACGGCCGTCGTCGCGGGCGCCGAACTTTTCTGTGCGCGCGAACCAAGCTGAAGTTGCTCTGGTAGGTGTATTTGAACATGGGCCATCTAAATATGCAACAATATCCGGGTCGTTGGATGCTTTTCCTTACGCCTATAGGGATCCGTGCGCTTCCTTAGCATTTGGGGGCAGTCACGGCCGTCGTCGCAGGCGCCGAACTTTTCTGTGCGCGCGAACCAAGCTGAAGTTGCTCTGGTAGGTGTATTTGAACATGGGCCACCCAAATATGCAACAATATCGGGTCGTTGGACGCTTTTCCTTACGCCTATAGGGATCCGTGAGCTTCCTTAGCATTTGTGTGCAGGCACGGCCGTCGTCGCGGGCGCCGAACCATTATTTTCTCGCGAACCAAGCTGAAGTTGCTCTGATAGGTGTATTTGAACATGGGCCACCCCAATATGCATCAATATTTGTGTCGCTGGACGCTTTTCCTTACGCCTATAGGGATCCGTGAGCTTCCTTAGCATTTGTGTGCATGCACGGCCGTCGTCGCGGGCGCCGAACTATTCTGTTCTTGCGAACCAAGCTGAAGTTGCTCTGATAGGTGTATTTGATTATGGGCCACCCCAATATGCAACAATATTTGTGTCGCTGGATGCTTTTCCTTACGCCTATAGGGATCCGTGCGCTTCCTTAGCATTTGTGGGCAGGCACGGCCGTCGTCGCAGGCGCCAAACTTTTCTGTGCGCGCGATCCAACCTGAAGTTGCTCTGGTAAGTGTATTTGAACATGGGCCACCCGAATATGCAACAATATTCGGGTCGTTGGATGCTTTTCCCTACGCCTATAGGGATCCGTGGGCGTCCTTAGCATTTGTGTGCAGGCACGGCCGACGTCGCGGGTGCCGAACTTTTCGGTGTGCGCGAACCAAGCTGAAGTTGCTCTGGTAGGTGTATTTGAATATGGGCCACCTGAATATGCAACAATATTGGGGTCGTTGGATGCTTTCCCTTACGCCTATAGGGATCCGTGCGCTTCCTTAGCATTTGGGGGCAGGCACGGCCGTCGTCGCGGGCGCCGAACTTTTCTGTGCGCGCGAACCAAGCTGAAGTTGCTCTGGTAGGTGTATTTGAACATGGGCCACCTAAATATGCAACAATATCCGGGTCGTTGGATGCTTTTTCCTATGCCTATAGGGATCCGTGTGCTTCCTTAGCATTTGGGGGCAGTCACGGCCGTCGTCGCGGGCGCCGAACTTTTCTGCGCGCGCGAACCAAACTGAAGTTGCTCTGGTAGGTGTATTTGAACATGGGCCACCCAAATATGCAACAATATCGGGTCGTTGGACGCTTTTCCTTACGCCTATAGGGATCCGTAAGCTTCCTTAGCATTTGTGTGCAGGCACGGCCGTCGTCGCGGGCGCCGAACCATTATTTTCTCGCGAACCAAGCTGAAGTTGCTCTGATAGGTGTATTTGAACACGGGCCACCCCAATATGCATCAATATTTGTGTCGCTGGACGCTTTTCCTTACGCCTATAGGGATCCGTGAGCTTCCTTAGCATTTGTGTGCATGCACGGCCGTCGTCGCGGGCGCCGAACTATTCTGTTCTCGCGAACCAAGCTGAAGTTGCTCTGATAGGTGTATTTGATTATGGGCCACCCCAATATGCAACAATATTTGTGTCGCTGGATGCTTTTCCTTACGCCTATAGGGATCTGTGCACTTCCTTAGCATTTGTGGGCAGGCACGGCCGTCGTCGCGGGCGCCAAACTTTTCTGTGCGCGCGATCCAACCTGAAGTTGCTCTGGTAAGTGTATTTGAACATGGGCCACCCGAATATGCAACAATATTCGGGTCGTTGGATGCTTTTCCCTACGCCTATAGGGATCCGTGGGCTTCCTTAGCATTTGTGTGCAGGCACGGCCGACGTCGCGGGCGCCGAACTTTTCTGTGCGCGCGAACCAAGCTGAAGTTGCTCTGGTAGGTGTATTTGAACATGGGCCACCCAAATATGCAACAATATTTGGGTCGTTGGATGCTTTTCTCTACGCCTATAGGGATCCGTGCGCTTCCTTAGCATTTGGGGGCAGGCACGGCCGTTGTCGCGGGCGCCGAACTTTTCTGTGCGCGCGAACCAAGCTGAAGTTGCTCTAGTAGGTGTATTTGAACATGGGCCACCCAAATATGCAACAATATTCGGGTCGTTGGATGCTTTTCCCTACGCTTATAGGGATCCGTGCGCTTCCTTAGCATTTGTGGGCAGGCACGGCCGTCGTCGCAGGCGCCAAACTTTTCTGTGCGCGCGATCCAACCTGAAGTTGCTCTGGTAAGTGTATTTGAATATGGGCCACCCGAATATGCAACAGTATTCGGGTCGTTGGATGCTTTTCCCTACGCCTAAAGGGATCCGTGGGCTTCCTTAGCATTTGTGTGCAGGCACGGCCGACGTCGCGGGCGCCGAACTTTTCTGTGCGCGCGAACCAAGCTGAAGTTGCTCTGGTAGGTGTATTTGAACATGGGCCACCCGAATATGCAACAATATTCGGGTCGTTGGATGCTTTTCCCTACGCCTATAGGGACCCGTGGGCTTCCTTAGCATTTGTGTGCAAGCACGGGCGCCGACGTCGCGGGCGCCGAACTTTGGTTCTATCGTTGGTCCGATAGGACCAACTATAGGACCAACTATAGGACCAACTATAGGACCAACTATGCCTTCCCCCTCTCATGCCTTCCCCCTCTCATGCCTTCCCCCTCTCATGCCTTCCCCCTCTCATGCCTTCCCCCTCTCATGCCTTCCCCCTCTCATGCCTTCCCCCTCTCATGCCTTCCCCCTCTCATGCCTTCCCCCTCTCATGCCTTCCCCCTCTCATGCCTTCCCCTTCTCATGCCTTCCCCCTCTCATGCCTTCCCCCTCTCATGCCTTCCCCCTCTCATGCCTTCCCCCTCTCATGCCTTCCCCTTCTCATGCCTTCCCCCCTCTCATGCCTTCCCCCTCTCATGCCTTCCCCCTCTCATGCCTTCCCCCTCTCATGCCTTTCCCCTCTCATGCCTTCCCCCTCTCATGCCTTCCCCCTCTCATGCCTTCCCCCTCTCATGCCTTCCCCCTCTCATGCCTTCCCCCTCCCATGCCTTCCCCCTCTCATGCCTTCCCCCTCTCATGCCTTCCCCCTCTCATGCCTTCCCCCTCTCATGCCTTCCCCCTCTCATGCCTTCCCCCTCTCATGCCTTCCCCCTCTCATGCCTTCCCCCTCTCATGCCTTCCCCCTCTCATGCCTTCCCCCTCTCATGCCTTCCACCTCTCATGCCTTCCCCCTCTCATGCCTTCCCCCTCTCATGCCTTCCCCCTCTCATGCCTTCCCCCTCTCATGCCTTCCCCCTCTCATGCCTTCCCCCTCTCATGCCTTCCCCCTCTCATGCCTTCCCCCTCTCATGCCTTCCCCCTCTCATGCCTTCCCCCTCTCATGCCTTCCCCCTCTCATGCCTTCCCCCTCTCATGCCTTCCCCCATGCCTTCCCCCTCCCATGCCTTCACCCTCCCATGCCTTCCCCCTCTCATGCCTTCCCCCTCCCATGCCTTCCCCCTCCCATGCCTTCCCCCTCCCATGCCTTCCCCCTCCCATGCCTTCCCC